CTACGATGTGGATTCTAGGGATTGAACTCAGGTCATCAGGTTTGGTGGCAAGCCTCTATCTGATGAACCATCTTGCCAGTCCTTTTCTTCAGACATTTGAATCATAGTGCCTGTAGTTCATTTTCAAGTGAGACTCAAACTGAGTCTAATTGAAACCACGTTTTCTCTGTTGAAATAAAACAGGATCAAGTTGTGTTCACCATGTCCCTACCATCCTTTCCCTTCCTCTCAGAACTGAACCCAGAACCTCGTGCATATTAGGCAAGTGATCTAATGCTGAGCTGCATCCCAGCCCAGAGTGCTGTTTTCTTTTACTTGTTTCTGAAGCAATATTTTAACCTTTATTCTGATAAAATTTGAGTAGTTTATATTCATGGATAATCCAAAGAAAATTCATGACTCAGAAAAGTTTGTATCTTATTTGGCCATTGTGAATAGTTTATGGGTCATTATCCTGACACCCCCGTAACTTCTATACTTCAGTTTTCAGAGATGCTGATAATTCTGATTATGCTATTCTTTTCAAACCAAAGCGCTAACGTGTAAAACAGCAAACTGGAAAGTGATACTCTTATTTCTTTGTAAACTTTTGGAGGAAGCCAGGTTTTTGACTTGCTCATCTATTGTAATGAAAACGTCTCCAATTTAGGTAATTACACTGGAATGAAGATTTCTGTATAAACAATAAACATTGTAGCCATGCCATCAATATCTTGTTTTGCTAACCAAGTAGAAATTAGGCCTGATATGCTGGGATGCTTTGGCAAACAAGCACCCAAGGGTCCTCTACGACTGCATGGCTGGTACAGAAAACCAATGCCTCCCAGGGTCTCCTTCTTTCCTTCCTTTTCCCCCCATGGGAACAGAGCTGAAAGTCTGCGTTCTTTTTTTTTTTTTAAATCAGCTCTAGAAATTCAGTCTACAGCTGTAGATTATGTGTAGCTCCTCATCTCTTCCAGACCGGCTGCCCCTAGTGGAGGAATGATGCTGGTTGTTGACATTTGATAGGAATCCAGGACAGCCACCTGCTCAGCCATTTCCATAAGCACTGACCCCATGCCCATTAGCTCAGATCTCTCACTCGTTTTACAGTATCTCCTACTTGGAGCTGTGGTTGTTGATATGATGTGGGGCTTGGCCGAGGCATGGTTCTGTCCTCCAGGACAGGCCTCACTGAAGGAGCTCTTATAGTGATGGAGGGCCCAGAACAGTGCACTCTCTCTCTCCTTCCCACCTCCTTCCCTTCTCCCTTCCTGGTCTCTCCCTCACTTTTCTGTTGGATTGAAGTCACAGTTAAATCCTGGCTATCTGGTGGATTTGTTCTGAACCATAAATTGAGATAGAATGTCTTAGCCTTTTCTGTTAATTTTGTATATGACCAGTAAGAAATTGCTCTGTGACCCCTGATTGCCTTTGAAAATGAAGCGTGTATAATATATTCTTTTCAAAGTTATATAAACTATACATGGTATCGTCAAAGCTGGGGCTGTAGTCTACGCATACATCGTGATGTCTCTTCCCTGGGTTCTCCTCTAGTGGTTTCAGAGTTTCCAGTCTTCTGTTAAAGTCTGTGAATGACTTTGAATTGATTTTTGTGCGGGATCAGAAGTATGGATCTAGTTCACTCTTTTACATGTGGTACTTGCCTTCCTTAATACCACTTATTGAAGAGGTATTCTTTTTCCAAAGTGCATTTTGGGCACTTTTCTAAAAAATTAAAGTATTAACTAATTAATTAATTAATTTATGTGTGTATGTGTATGAATGTGGGCGTGGACACCACGGCACACATGCGTAGGAGGACTTTTGGGGCTTGGTTCTTTCTTTCCACTGTTCTGGGGCTTGAATTCAGGTTTTCAGGCTTGCATGTGCTTTGACCTGCTGTGCCACTTTGTCTAACTCTTGTTGAAAATCAGGTGCCTGTAGTGTGCATTTATTCTGGTTATCTAGTCCATTCCATTCATATATTTGTCTCTTTTTAGGCCAGTACATTGTAGTGTTTGTTACTATGGCTCTGTAGTACAATTTGAGATCAGATATAGTGAATCCTCCAGCATTATTTTTATCTGTTTAGGATTATGTTGGCTCTTTAGGATCTTCTGTATTTCAATATGAATTTTCAGATTTTTTTTTCTAGTTCAATGA